CCAGTTACAAAAAACCCAGTGAAATTTTCCAAAATTAGGATCTAAGACGGTTCTAATATATTTTCCTGCATTATTTTTAGACGACCTAATATCCAGATGTTAGCCTTGAAAACCACATTAATCAATTATAACACACGATCATCAGCATTCATTAATAGGTTAAGAATTATACAAACGGAAACAATTTTAGCACTCACATATGGAATTTCTTGGTAAAATTTGTGGTCTTGGACAACCGCAATGCCGTCCACATTTGGTTCCATCTGTGTTCACCTTTAACTCGTGGGAAATTACTTGACAAACCACAGAGGTCTTTCAAACAATTAACTTGTTTTATTATGATAATAATTGTAGCGTAAACGCGGTTAATTGGGTTTAGGAAGTAAAATGAAACAGAAAAGTAAAGAAAATATATGATATAAATAAATATATGTTTTGTGACGATTTGAAACGCCCAGAATAACAATGAAAAGAATTAAAATAGTATATTTTTTAATATATTAATTTTAAACTAAAAAAGTACAATATTAATTATTTTTTATTTTTAGCAAAGATGTATTAATAAGTACCCAATGTTAAAATTGTAGCTAATTATTTTGAAAGTAATAACTATATAGCAGTTCTTATTATAATTTAAATATGTTAACAGGATGTACTATGTTGTTTAAGAACAAACTTAGGTAAGACAAACATACCCAACTATTTTACCTGTTCATTGACTAAAAACTTGGTTCTGCAGGCTTTTATCGTCTCTATGTAAAACTATTAAAGACTACAATTGTTCACATATATTTGGTAGGCATCTGGTATCATGATAGGCAAGCTCCTTAATATTCTAAAGAACGCCAATATTGGTACGGTCGCAACGGATTACCTAACATATAGACGAGTGTTTACTTAGCAATAAAACGTTAGTATAGAAAATTAATTATCTTACCTCAGATTTACATGAAACCGCAATCTGAATAACTATATTGATTAAATATTAATGGCCTTAGTTGATTTTTGTATGCAAAAAATGACGACTATGAGTTACAATGAGTCCTTCAAAAAATGTTACCTGCTTTGTTGATATACGAACAATACTTTCATTAACTGACTTCACAATATACGGAAATCGAGATGAATATGTAGAATCACCTGTTTTGACATTGGGATTCATTGCAATAAACAATTACGAGTACGTACTACAAGTGTTTGATTCATGCCATGATACTCGCTCAGCCGGCCGACGCTTTGTCTGCCGGAGCGGAGCCGGCTCGGCAACTATACATCAGCGTCAGAGAGTCACTTCTTTGTACTCGCCCAGCCACTACGATGTAATTATTCAACGTTTAGTTTTACTTGTCTTTTGTATAACAAATTTAATGTTAGTAATATTGAATTATTTTCCTTTGTAGGTATGATTTAAATATTATGATAAAATGATTTAAGTGTCACACAAGTTACGCAACTATTTAAATTTCATAGTATGTCATGGGTAATGATAATAAAATTATAAACGTCAATTGATAATTATTAAATAAACATTCGATGCCTCTTTATTATGGCTGATGTAAAAATCTGTAATATTTCATAACTTATCGATTTTGTATCGAATCTTTAACATGCAAGTCATTAAAGTTTAACTATAATCAAAACTGTACACACTGTGATTCACATTATAGTGTTTTTCATTATGACTGTACATGATTGACACTTATGATTGATTCTTTACGCAATCAAAATCAAAGACAAATGTAAAAGTTTCTATTTCTATAACCTATATAATATATCATACTAACTCGCATCAAACTCCGTTGCGTAGTTTTAAAGATTTAAACATAAGTACATATAGGGACAGAGAAAGCGACTTTATTTTATAGATGCTATGTAGTGATGTGCATAGAAACGCCTGCACACATACACAGATACACTAAACTCTCGAAAATCGTGACAATTTCATCTATCGGATGGTAGACTAGGATGGTTTTCACTGTAATGATATTAATAAGGTTATTTATTTAAAGGTCAAATGAACTGGCTCTGACTTTCAAGATGGGTTCGACAGAATTTAATGGGTTATTACTATCAAAGATAAAACGTGAACGTTACAAGTTTAGCGCTCCAACTCACGAACTCAAGTACTATTTACTGCATTTTGCATATAAATTAATAAACAAAATTATACTAAAAAAATAACTACCTGGATCTGTCTAAATTTGAAAAGGGTACAACATTTTTTTTGCGAATGTACTCAAGTGTACTTTATAGTATAATTGACGCATTATTATTTGTAATATTTTATCCCTATTTACTCGATTAGTGTGTGAAAAAGTTATTCTGGTTTTTAAGGATTCAGATAAGTACAAGCATAATAAAAAGTTGTCAGAAATCTATATTTTATGTATATGACAATAATACAACTTTTTCTGTGTATTGTGTAAAGATCAAAAGTCACATGAGGCGCTTTCAAGGTGTTTGATTGATACCTACGTGACATTGATATTTCTGCTACATTTTAGTATTATTTTTAAACAATATGGCTATAAATATAAATTCGGACGGACAAAATAATAAATTTCAATCTTTATTTTTTTATGTTGTCAAAAAAATTGAATGCTTTAATTTACTATTTATTGTTGACATAATTAAAAGAAAATGTATAGATGTGATCTCTTTACAAACTTTTTATTATTTTAATTCATTAGGTCTATTAGAACAGCCACCGACTAGCCTAGATATAGACATATTTGGTTGCTCAACTACTTTTTTCAAACCTTTTTTTTAATTGTCTTAATAGACAATTTGAGACTGTGTATGAATTTGTTTTGACAACACATTTTTCTCTGTCTGTCTATCTGTGTTTTCTTTACGCCTAAACTAATGAACCGATTTATGTGAAATTTGGTTCAGACATAGTTTGGAAGGACATAATTTTTATATGAAAAATCTGCAGGAAGTCACTATTTCATGCGGACGAAGTCGCGGGCAAAAACTAGTAGCTAATAATTCACTATAAACGTCTATAGCACATATCCTGGTAACAAATGCCAGAATGACATATCAATTACCTAATCTTGGAGGTCTTATTGAGCAAGGTCAAGAAAGTCCATTGCCAAGGTCTAAAATATCACAATCGCTTAGACTTGTTAATTTCAGTTCACCAATGCAAAATTGTTAATATACATATTTTTACAATAAAAATGTTTGATTGTATCTGTTCATATACACTATACCTACATAAATTAACAAAATTCATGGTGCTATTTATCTATTTGTACTAATGCTAATAAATATGCTATAAATAAATAAAAAATCCTATTATTTATTGATATTTAAATGGTTTTATAGGGATTATCGGTTAAAGAATTTCATTTAAATCATTCTAAAAATAGACGAAATTATGCCTTATCTGTAGGAAGGAAAGTAGAATCTTGACATAATTGAACATTAAGTTTTTATTTTTGTGCCTTTTATTTCATTTGGACATTATTTTTAATATACATATTTACTTCTGTATTTCTTTATTTACATTTTTCTGTATATATATTATTACACATATTTCTGTATTTCTTTTTAATCACATAAGTTACTAACACGTGAATTAATAAATTACATAAATTTATTCAAATTCTGTAACATGATACTCTTGTTTAGAAAATTATTCAAAGTTTACCTATATGACAAAAAGTAAAATAATTAATGAAACACGATATTTGTGTACCTAATTAATATAAAAAGTCGTTACACCCATAACTTAGTATAAAAAAACTTTAAATATTCAATGAACCTTTAATCCGTTTAAGGCTCCGAAAAATTGTATCATCTTCTCATAGTTTTAATTAAAAATATAATAATCCTAAGCTTGTATAAAACCTCGTAAAATAAAAAGTCAATAAAATAAAGGTCATTAATATGCAAATAAAGAAGCACCGGACGAAAATTCACCTCAGGTGGTAAACCGGATTGGTTGCTAACAGACAACGTGTCACCTTAAACTTTTTGGTCAAATTCTGGCTCTAATTAACGACCCATCTTCGCCGTTTCATTAGGCAAAATTGTAATTTTACCTAAATATATTGATACATTTCACTATCGGAGACCATAAACGAAAAATTATAATAATGAACCAAATGTTAATTTTAAACATATTCTTTTCGCAAATGGGCCTTAAATTATATCACAACACATTAAATAAATTAACAGATTTAGAATTTTAATGTACTTACATACCTAATGACCAAATTCACAAAGTTAAATTTCACGGCTACGGTTAGGCTTTTAACATTGTTTAACAGTTCACAGACGAAACAATTGATTTCCTATCGGAGCGATTTAAATAAATGGCCATCCTTATTTTTTGTCAGTTAAATTATTCTTATGCATCCCAAAAATGTAAAATTAAGTAGCCTTTGACATAAAAAAGGGTGATTACAGATTATTCTTTCCTTGTTTTTAGCTGCGTATAATTTCGCTTAAAGACCACTTCCGTTCCGACCAATATCTGTCAACATATTTCCACGTTCGGCTCGGACACATCACAAGAACTCGATTTCATTGACAACAACAGTCTGCAGCATAATGAGTTTTAAATTATTACTGCAGATAAAAAGTAGCTGACCGACGTTCGTGTAACCTTTCTTTATTTCGTAACTGAACACTCTAGACGATCGAAGAATAGACCTCCCCATCCTTGTCCGCCAATTGAGGCAACAAACCATTGAGGTGGAATAAATAGGTTATTTAATTATCCTAATATGCTTAATATAATTTTTATTCTACAAATTAAGGGCGTATTGTGTTAAGCGTGTGTGGTAGTAAGCAAGTGGCGCGAGCGGCTATGCGCAGACGCAGCGGGCGGCCGGCGTCGCTCCGTCTCCATGGTAACGCAGCGTCGGGTACATAAGCGTTCGCGTGGGCCGTAGGCCGCACAGACCGCTAAAGCCTGGAGAGCGCGCAGCACGTCGTGCTACGGATCACCGGGAAATATTAACAAGTTTGAAGTTTCGTAAATATAAGTGAATACATCTTTAGTTACGAATCTCAACTTTAAGCGTGAATTTTTCAGTTTCAAGTGTTGTGAATATTTAAACTTTAAAAATGATGAAGATGGTATCCTTAGTGTTGTTTGTTTTGGGAGGTCTCCTCGCAGCAACAGAAGGCTGTGGTCCTGGAAAGCAATTGCTACGTAAGTTGTTTATTTAATTTTATTTTTAACCGACTTCATTATTTAATATTTTGTAGCAAGTCTAAATTTTACTTTGCTCTGATTTTAATTCGCATCATAATCAAGGATTTATTTTCGACGACCCAAAAAACCAATTCACTATAATAAAATATTTAATTAAAATTAAAACTCGTAAATTTAGATAATAAATAGTTTCCACACATTCGAGAATCGCGATTGATATTTAAACTTAAATCTGGATTAATAATAATAGTGAACAGAAAATATCTTGTAATTTATGATTTCATCCATTAAGATCTTAAAGCATATAAAGCACATTTAAATTCATAAAGTGTTCGTAATGATACCAAGAAACCATCAATCCAATCGCCGCCACCCAGTCTGGATTTTGCGAACGAGTTTTTACCAAAAAGATGCTCCTATTTTACATACTCGTATGGGTCGAGGTCGTAAAATTTTATTGACACAGACACCTGTATGATCACACACTGGTCTAATAAATCAGATCAATTCGATGGATTATGAAATCATCCGAACAATATTGTACCCTTAATACCTAGAGCAAAACTTTAAGTTATAATAATGAAAAACAAGAAAAGTGAACGCTACAATATTTGTTTCTTTTTTCTTAGGATCTGGAGGATTGACGGCGTACGAGAAGCAAGCTATAGTCGACGCGCACAATCGTCTCAGGCAATCCGTTGCCCTGGGACAGGTCTCCAGCCAACCACCAGCAGCTAACATGATGGAAATGGTAAGTTAACAAACAAAATAGTAACAAACAAATAATCATGGATATAAATACGAACTTGATCTTGACCATTATACATTGACATTTTGCCACACATTTTAATTCAGCAGGGTCATAAAATATAAAGCCGTGACATCAGCTAGCTACATTATAATCTAATAAAGTAATGCAAATTTTAAATCCCCTCAGACGTTTTGATATCAAAAATGGAATGTGAATAACACATAGATTAAAAAAATATAAAATAAATACAATTAAAATTCTTAACATCTTACGTATATTAAACTGCTACATTTATAAAATTGATAAAATAAATCTAGCACTAAATCATGGATAGATCGATCATGATTTCATTTGAGCAAATTCATAACAACATGTTTATTGCAAATATGCAAAACAAAGTACATTGACTCCGTTTGAAAACAGATTGAAGTAACACTTAGTTTGGCTCTTGATTCTTTGTAGCAGTTCTGTAGAATATTTTTTTTTTTATCTTTAAGTGCAAAGGTCTATGTTCAGCAGTGGACGTCCTGTGGCTGATATGATGATGATGATGATAAGTGCAAATGATTTTCTGTGGTTGACTATACTGATAAGTTTGTCTTTTGTTGCACAGGTATGGGATGACGAGCTGGCCGCGGGCGCTCAGCGCTGGTCTGATCAGTGCATCACTGCTCACGACCGTGCCGCCCAGCGGTACGATGGCCGCTTTCCAGTGGGTCAAAACCTTGCAGCCACTTGGACAACTCGCCCACCCACCCAGAGCTCTGACTCCGAACCTGACTTCAACAAGCAAATCAACGCCTGGTTCGACGAAGTACATGTCTACTACTTCAAACCCATCACCGGAGGACATGGCACTGGACATTACTCACAGGTAATTTGCAATTTAAATTCGGCAGCTTAATAGTGAAGCTAATCTCCATATCAATTTAACGCCAAATGTGACATAAAGAATATTTAATTTTGTAACTTATATAATAATTCATTGTTGCCTTCTAAAGAAATTGAATATATTCCTAACGTTTTTTTCTGTTGTTTAGTTGGTTTGGGGCGAGACATCTCATGTAGGCTGTGGTTTCACATTCTACTACGACCCCGTTCGAGGCTACACCAAGCTCTACGTGTGCAACTACGGTCCCGGCGGTAACGTCATCGGATCCAAGCCATACGAAAAGGGCTATCCATCATGCACCAACTACGGCCTCACAGAATCCATCAAATACTCCGGCCTTTGCGGTAAATATTTTTTCTTTATCTACGTGTTTTTATTTTTGACTTATAAACATTGCTACAATACATAAACAATTCTTAATACATATGACGCCAACACGTTGGCCATAAAATAATTTTATTAGTTAAACCACAAATAAATCTAATTTATGTATTCTTTGTTACAGCCGCTAGCTACACAGCTTCCTCGTCTTACCAGACGGTGGATAACAGCAACAGCTACATCTCGAACGCCATCCCCGACAGCTCCGCGGGCACTCAAGGCTTCAACTATCACTTCAGCAACCAGTTCTACAACCAGTACAACAATCAATACCAGTACAGATACCAGCAGCCGAGCACTTACTACCGCCAAGAAACCTCGACCTTCAGGCCTATCATCAGTATCATCAACACCGCCTCCAAGCTTTTCAAGACAAAGCCCCAAGTGAGAATTGGCACCGTCTACCTATAGGCATTTCCTTGAGGGTGCAGTCATAGCAGTATTGTTTGTAAATTATAGTGACAGTTGTGTTACTCGACTGATATTCGAAACTGCACTGAGCAGACTTTCGGAACCAAGTATGATATTGTTATTCCTTGGTTTTACAAGGAACTTAAGTAGGTTTTCGCTTCTTTGAATGTATTGAGTTTCCAACATTGTGAAGGTCTTGGTGATTTTATGTTAAAGTTGCGATGCTGTCGAGATGGCCTTCTAGTATTAGCAGTGTGTAAGCGAATTGTTATTTAGATAGATTTATATTTATATTTTTAAATAAATATTTCTTAATACAATATATAATTATTTTTATTTTATCAAGCGTGATGTAATTTCTATTTGGGATTCAGAATATTATTTTATTAAAAGAGATGACGAAATAACCGGTAATTTAGATGAGGTGGTATAATGAAATACAATACTTGAATTTGATGTTTGCATAAAATTATATTATTTTATGTATGAACGATGATAGGCTTTGCGGTCAGCCACCCGCTAAATCAGCTTGGTAACTGAGGACATTACTCTTATGGAGAAAGACTTGTGCCTTATGAATGGGCAGTTACGGGTTAAACTCGTTTTCTTTTAAACAAGTGATCAAACATTCGATACCTACTTGTGAGTCATACAAACGTTATAAGTATTTCACTGTTTCAACGTATTCTAAGTAAGGATAAGGGCGATGATCATTTAATTAAGGTTAGGCATAATCAGATAAAATATGTAAATATGTTAATAGGTTACGTCCGATAACATAAAAAATACAGTTTTTAAACATATTCAAATATCCATATTATTACGAGATATTACCTATAGATATTCAAACAGTCCTTCTTTAAATACTATCTTCGTCAGCATTGTGGCGTCAAGAAAAAAAAATTGTTACCACCCAAACTTTACCACCACACATCTGCCAACCAGTCGCTTTTATCTCTGATGAACATTATCACATTTTTGAAACTGTGATGTCCATCTCTCCCGCAAAGCGTTAAGATTATGATATGAATTTTCTTTTTAATAGAAGGAGGCTATAGTTTGGCTGCGTATTGTTACAACCTTTTGAAGATGACAATGATAAGTACTAAGCATGTGCTTATCGATAAATGAGATAGTAGAATTTCCCAACCAATCCTATATGATCTTTGACACTATAATACCTACTCAATATTAAATGCAAGTACTCACCCAAGGACTGGTTTTAAACCAGTTCAAGAGTAATTAAACAGAACACTAAATGTCACAGGATAAAAAATATTGAACTTTGTTTTCACTGCACCCTGCAATTTATTTCTCACTCTTGGTTGGCTGCGGTTAAACAACTGCCATTCATGAATTTTCCCACCGCTCTGAGATACACGTTGGTGATGAACATGGAAATTGAATGCAATTATAAAAAATACGGATAATAATTGGTTTACACATTGTTTTGCGGATATCGTTTGTACTTAACTAAGTAGGTTATCGAGCAGCTGATGTAAAACGTGATTAGAATTAGTTTTCCAAATCAAGTCAGTAAATGAAAATTACATTTTTTTCACATTTTGGTCCATAGTGGGTATAAAATAATGTTTCTTCATTCTTAGGTGTTATTTAAACTTTAAGGTCTTCGAATCTAAGAGTGGGTCAGTGGATGACGAGCAAGGGCAGCTCGCCCGCTCGTATAGTGTGTAGCGTTGCCAATAGACCACCACAGATAGGGCCCGATTGACCCAATACTTAGCCTGGGCCGCGGGTCAAGCGCAATAAGGTACCGTGGCCTCGGCCTGGAGCAGGAGAAGGAACGGGGGTTTTTAGTTAGTAAGAGTCTGACATTTCTTTCTAGGCGCCACTTTCCGCCACAAATAGGGTTTATAGTGGGTATATATAGAATTATTCATCAATCATACAAACATGCTCCAGCAGGCAAGCATAAGGTTGTGTTGCCTACTAATTAGTACTGAATATGAAACATAAATTGATTTCCTTTTTACAAGATATCAAACATATTTTCACTAATAATATGAAGTACCTATATGCCAGTTTTTTTTAAATACCACATTTGATCCGGTATAGCTGACACGTGCGTTTAAATATGTAGGGCCACCAAAAAGATCTTTTTTTGTAATAATTTAAAAATATTTATTTATCAAGTTTTTTTTGCACAAACACTTTGTCTTGTGTAATTTTTAAATAAATAAATAAGCTATGTAAGTAAAATTAATAATAAACTGATTTTTTATACTAAAAACCAAGCAGTAGACTGCTAAACACATATTTTTCTTGACTGCCGCCTACTGTTTGTATATTATCACGTAACTGGCGTACTGTGTACTCAAACACACGATGTATTGAATGTTAAATAACTACTTATGAAGGTACACAACATTATGGATTTTATAGCTTAATATGAACCTCTCGTAAAACTGTTGTTATGATGTGTAGGTATTTATCGCTATTCTAGAAACTTCATAATCGTTCTTGAAGATTAAATTTTCTAAATGGAGTCTTTTTTTAATTCAAAACTAAATAATCTTTTGGTATTTCATACATGTTTTTTTATACGGGAAAGTACGGATAAGCTGTTATATTGTTTACTAGGTGCTCGGCTCTATTTGATCGTAGCGTGATGTTTTATAGCCTATAGCACTCAGGAACATTGTAGCTATCTATCAGTGGGAGACTTTTAGCGATCCGACCAGCAGTTCCAAAGATTACCCCCTACATACAAGCTTACAAATTTTACCTCTTTATAATATTAGTATAGAATTATAGATAAAATATTGATTATTTAAATAGTAATTGTGTTTTTATTTGTATTTCTCTTGCATATGGATAGTATTTCAGTTTTAGGAAGCCAAAAATGCTATGGCAATTACGTAATACAACATACAAATCATAACAAATTACTGACAAGTTATATTTTTCTCTCTTCTCCGTTGCAAAACGCGTGATGCATTAAGGTGGATAGAAGTCTCATATAAATAAAAAAAACCTGTTGATATTTATTATTTAATTATGGCATACCTTATGTTTTTACTATTCATTGATAAAATACTCAGTAATAATATAAATAGTTCTAAGTGATAGAACTGAGTATATGGTCAATATGTACATGCATATGTTAGGTAAAGGTCACAAGTACATTGGACGTTATGTAAATCTACTAAACTACAGACAAGCGCAAACAGATTTAGTCTGACTGACTAAATGAATTATTTCGCCAGAGGTAGCGGGAGAGAGAGTATCAGACTCTTATTGACTAAAAAATTAATAAGAAAGTAAATAAGTGTGGGACAGTCAAGCTTTAGCACAAATGGATCAACCGGAGTGATACCACGGCCTCAAAGAAAACCAGCGTAAAACAACCACAGCGATGTGTTTTGTCGTGTGAATGAGGTTACCGGGCCCAATCATTCCCCTCTCCCTATCCCTTTCTAATCCTTGAATATCCAACCCTAATCCCCAAAAGGCCGGCTACGCACTCGTAACACCTTTGGTGATGTGGGTGTCTATGAGCGGCGCCGATTGCTTTGACCATTAGCTAAAAAAACGCCTGCTGGTTTGCCGACCTATCCCATAAAAAAATTACTTTTTTTTCTGTGCACGTAATAAAAAAAGGCAATTAATAAAAATTTTATTTTTTCACTATCATTAAATCCTGTCAACCCTACACATGTCGCTGAACGTGTTCGTAGTACACTCACGTGCAAAAACACGAGTCCTTGACCTCACCTAGGTATGACATTTGTCAAATACAAAGTGTTAAAGCCAATACTCCTTGTTTCACACTATCCAGATAAGGGACTTAATGAATTGATAGCAGTGTTAGAAAACAATGCAAATAACGTTCTGACACCTGTGCGTTTGACGGTAGAAACCATTAGCCGATCAACAAAACCAGTAGTTTAAGGAGAGTGATAATTAACAAGACATATTTAAACTTTGCCTACTTATAAGCATAGGAAACGATATTTAATTCTTTTGGTTATTTTATTCACTTCGTAAATCATAATGATGCAGTTGAACAGCAGACTATACAATGTGATCTGAAACGTCATAGATGCGTTCGTAGTTTCTGGCAGACTGTCGATAAATATTGGGATGTCGTGGGACGAGGCAAGTGATTAATATTAAAAATAATTGCCTTTTGTCTAGAAACTTAGTAAGTTAAAGGTATAGTATAATAATATAAACGTGTTACGCATTATGGTGGCGCTAAGAATTTTTACTGCGACATACAACAAGTAAATAAAACAATTTATGATTTGTTAATATCTCTGTTTTAAAATACGCATAAAATACTTTATAAAAAACCAATAATATTATATCAAGTTTTATTGCATATTTTTATGGTTTACAAAAAAAGATCTTAACTGGCCACCTCATATAACTGCTGCGCATCAACCAGGGTTGCGGGGCAAGCGCAATAGGACACCACGGCCTCGTCCGGCAAGAGAAGGAACGGGGGCTTTTTAGTCAGTAAAAGTCTACTAACTGTCCCCTGGGTGGGAGAAGTAATTCGATGACATTTCCCTCACAAAAAAAATGCTAAATGCTGCGCATTGAGCATGAGAGCTCGATTCCTCGATTACGGTTGTCAAAACTAACAAATCTTACGCAATGAACATATTTGAGTAATATTCAGCAAAAAAAAAAAATTATTAGCAGATACTTTTATCATATACCTCTGTTTTCAGAAAATATTAATACCGCACTGCAGACAAAACAATTTTTAATGCAGTGTAATTAGAACATTGCACAGTTCTTTTGAAAGTCAAATTAAGAAAGTGCAGCTTTCTTTACAACGATAGAAAAGACAAAATAAAAATGGTTTTTATCTTTCTTGTCCCTCTAAAACATCATAGTATTAGTTTTTTTATTACAGGAGTAACTAGGCTAAACTAAAATAGCGTTCATTATTTTATTCTATAAAAATATATAAACAGCATAGAAAACTGTTTAATTGGCAATCAGCCAATGACGTCTTACGTTTAACTGTCCACGTTATTATAGAAGAGAAATTATACAGTTCATAGATTATCCCACCACACCCTATAGTTATCTTTTTAATAGTTTTCCTACTGGTTCCAGTAAGTTAATTACTGTAGTTATGTATCTTCCATCTTTTCTGTACGTACATCGAATATTCCTGTTTTCAACAACCACTACA